ATTAGAAAATATTATACTTGTCAAACTAAACTCATTCCATTTGGATAGTGTCATCGAAAATTTCCCTTCATTTGAAGACGAAGAAAATCATAATTGAAATTATTGTTATTGTTGAAATTTAATTTTTTATTTTTGTTATATTGAAAAGGAATATATTATTATAATTTGAAATTAACGTCTTTAAATGCAATATCTGGTAAATTAATATTACTGCTTGTTTAAAACCGTGCATGTGTACCAAAACAAAATATAACGGTAAGATTTGGTATGCGGCAAAATACGGAGCTGCTATGAGAGCAACTACAAAAATGCTATGAGAGCAACTACGCTGTTGCTACGAGAGCAAAAGCAGAGTTGCTTTTATTTTCGTTCGCTTTGCTTTCATTCTCGCTGTCGATGCTTGTGCTATAGCTACAACTACAAATAGAATGACGGGCATTTTTTTGCTATTGCTATTGCTCTGTACTCCGACGTTCTGTGCTACAGAGCAGAGCAGAAAAGCAACCGTTTTGCTTTTGTGCTCTTTGCTATGCTACAGAGCCGAACGAAATCAGAGCAATAGCGAGAGTAAAAAAAAATACTTTGATGTAGCATAGCATTTTCAATCACTGGAAGAAACGGAACTACCCGGCGTGATGAGACAACTTAATGCCACCTTCGCTAGCATGGGCACTGTTTGTGTTTGCGAGATCCAAAATTCGAAAGGATTGGTCTCCCAATTACAGAATGGCATACTAAAGACCAGTTGCATTTCTTTTCTTTCCGAACTTTGGACTACAGAGTCTCGGAGTTCTATGGTCCTGTTGTGGAGATCCAAAAAAACTTTCCTGTACGTCCATGTCCTGTACGACCATGTCTTCGAAATCCATTTCTCCTTCAGACGGCTGTATTTTTGTTTCTTTATTTTCAATCATCTGCCTTACGATTTCATCTGTTACATTTTTGACGTGGAGAGGCATATTGAAGTACATTTTTTAAAAACGAGGATCAAGCATAGTAGCTTTCATCAGAATATTATTCCGTAGCAAACCACTCAATCGCTTTTCCGATATATTTAGAATTGTGTCTTTTGTTAGGATGCCCTCAGCGGTAACCACGTTAGCTTCTTTTAGTTTATGAGCAATAGCAATAGCAAAAAATGCCCGTCATACTATTTGTAGTTGTAGCTATAGCACAAGCATCGAAACCGAGAATGAAAGCAAAGCGAACGAAAATAAAAGCAACTCTGCTTTTGCTCTCGTAGCAACAGCGTAGTTGCTCTCATAGCATTTTTGTAGTTGCTCGGTGCATGTACGGTTTTAAATGCGTAGTAATATTAATTCACCTTAAGCGTAAACATGGCTTCGCGAAAAAACAATATTTTAAAATATTTTGAAGACGATGGGTCAACATATGTGCAGTGCAAATCTTGTAATCGGTCTTTAAAGAAAGATCGTACATTTAATTTAAAGAAACATATTGTTGGAGTGCACAAAATAAAAATAGATAATCTAGACGAGGAGTCCACTTGTTCAGAAAATATAACAGAACCCAGAAAAGAAATAATTAAAGTTAAAATAAACAAAAAACAGTTAATTCGTTCATACATAGGACTGGTAACAGAAGAAAGCGTACCTTTCAATGTTTTAAATTCGGTAAACATGAAAAATATAATAGATATAATACACACTATATGGACCCAACCGAAACCAGGACCTGTCCGTTCTGCAATGATACCAACGATGCCTTATCAATTATTCATTTACTGACTAACTGCAAGTCACTAAACTGCCAAAGACAACTACTATTTAAAAACACCAATCCACTAGAATCCATCTCAAACCCCATATTACCAAACATATTACAAATAATACTATTTCTAAAGAACACAAACTTATATCACCTCATTTAAAATAATTATTATTTAGCCAAAATGTATATATAAAATATTACTCATGTAATCATTGTAAAAAACCGAGCTGAAGGCCCCCGTTGCTATTGCTCAACATTACCGCTACCTATTAATTATACCCGTTACTCGTAGAGTAAAAGGGTATATTGTATTCGTGCAAAAGTATGTAACAGCTAGAAGGAAGCGTTTCCGACCCTATAAAGTATATATATTCTTGATCAGGGTCACTAGCCGAGTCGATCTAGCCATGTCCGTCTGTCCGTCTGTCCGTCTGTCTGTCCGTATAAACGCTGAGATCTCGGAAACTATAAAAGCTAGAAGATTGGCATTTTGCATGCAGATTCTAGGAGTTCCTACGCAGCGCAAGTTTGTTTCAAAATGGTGCCACGCCCCCTTTAACGCCCACAATCGCTTATATACGATTTTAAAAATTTAAATATTTCGGAAAAGTAAAAATGCAGTTTTATTGTGTTTATCAATACCTATCGAAATGTAGAAGAAATTTTTCAAATCGGACCATTCGTTAAAAAGTTATGCGTGATCAAAGTTTCTATCTCCATCTCCCTCGCACTCCCTTTACCTGAGTAACGGGTATCTGATAGTCGGGGCACCCGATTATAGCGTTCTCTCTTGTTTTAAATTACTTGGCAGCTCTTCATAAATAAATAAATAAATAAATAGATCCGATTTGTCTGGGTCTTACAGAAAAGAGTGGAAAAAGCTTTAAATTAAATGGCAGTAAATGCAAAAATATGCTAAAACATGTGGCGAAAAACATACGCAGCGAAATGCAACAAGAAATGCAGGGCCGCTTAATGACTTTGAAAATAGATAGCGCAACTCAGCTTAACCGTAATATTTTTGGAATAAGCGCGCAATTTATTAATGAAAATAAAATTGTATCCCGGATTTTAGGCATGTCTGAAATTAAAGGCACTAGTGGAAGTACGTCTAAAAATCTTGCCAAAGAAATTATAGCTACTTTAGAGAAGTACAACATCCGATTGAATCAAATTATTTCAATTACATCAGACAATGGAGCTAACATGATAAAAACAACAAAAATATTATCACATAGTTATGCAGCTGATGATGATTTTGAAGGCACAGAGGAAGTGGAAAAAAACATAGACTATACTAAAAAAATTGATAATTTTGAGACCCCAGAAGAATTGCACGTGGGTAATATACAAATATGCCGGTGTGCAGCACATACTGCACAACTTTGCGCACTTGATGTTTCAAAAAAGGCAGACATTAAAAGCTATGTAATTCAATGTCGCAACGTGACGAAATACATTCGTAAGCCATCAAATGGTTATCGTGAGGCATTTGACTTTCGAAAACTTAAATTGCCTCAATTGGATTGTCCCACAAGGTGGGGATCAACATATGAAATGATCGATCGACTTAACAAAGCTAAGGACGTATTGAGTGAAATTGAAGCAATCGAAAATAAAACGGATGATGAAAATTTCGACGCTACCTCTATGTTGTGGGAGTTTATAGATAGCTACACTTGCATTATGAATCCACAAACTTTATTCATCAACAACTTCATTGAATTCTATGAGTCTTGAAGAAGGGCTGGAAAATAATGAGTTCGACTTGTTAGACAGCTATTTGGGAGCTACGGTATCGCCATCAGACGAATGCACGGATGTTTTTACAAAAATCGAAACACTAAAACTCCCTTACATGAAAGCAAGTGTTAATGTATTGAACTTCTGGAGAGAAAGAAAGTCGACTGATCCTGAACTGTATGCACTAAGCAAAGTATGCTTTGCCACTCCGCCCACACAAGTAAGAAGTATTGTTTTTGCTGCAAGTAATATGTTAATAACTTTTAATTTTATTTAGGTCACAATCGAAAGGGCATTTTCATCATTAAAACTTCTATTGGTCGACAATCGGAATAGGTTAAGCCACGACACATTAGAAAATATTATACTTGTCAAACTAAACTCATTCCATTTGGATAGTGTCATCGAAAATTTCCCTTCATTTGAAGACGAAGAAAATCATAATTGAAATTATTGTTATTGTTGAAATTTAATTTTTTATTTTTGTTATATTGAAAAGGAATATATTATTATAATTTGAAATTAACGTCTTTAAATGCAATATCTGGTAAATTAATATTACTGCTTGTTTAAAACCGTGCATGTGTACCAAAACAAAATATAACGGTAAGATTTGGTATGCGGCAAAATACGGAGCTGCTATGAGAGCAACTACAAAAATGCTATGAGAGCAACTACGCTGTTGCTACGAGAGCAAAAGCAGAGTTGCTTTTATTTTCGTTCGCTTTGCTTTCATTCTCGCTGTCGATGCTTGTGCTATAGCTACAACTACAAATAGAATGACGGGCATTTTTTGCTATTGCTATTGCTCTGTACTCCGACGTTCTGTGCTACAGAGCAGAGCAGAAAAGCAACCGTTTTGCTTTTGTGCTCTTTGCTATGCTACAGAGCCGAACGAAATCAGAGCAATAGCGAGAGTAAAAAAAAATACTTTGATGTAGCATAGCATTTTCAATCACTGGAAGAAACGGAACTACCCGGCGTGATGAGACAACTTAATGCCACCTTCGCTAGCATGGGCACTGTTTGTGTTTGCGAGATCCAAAATTCGAAAGGATTGGTCTCCCAATTACAGAATGGCATACTAAAGACCAGTTGCATTTCTTTTCTTTCCGAACTTTGGACTACAGAGTCTCGGAGTTCTATGGTCCTGTTGTGGAGATCCAAAAAACTTTCCTGTACGTCCATGTCCTGTACGACCATGTCTTCGAAATCCATTTCTCCTTCAGACGGCTGTATTTTTGTTTCTTTATTTTCAATCATCTGCCTTACGATTTCATCTGTTACATTTTTGACGTGGAGAGGCATATTGAAGTACATTTTTTTAAAACGAGGATCAAGCATAGTAGCTTTCATCAGAATATTATTCCGTAGCAAACCACTCAATCGCTTTTCCGATATATTTAGAATTGTGTCTTTTGTTAGGATGCCCTCAGCGGTAACCACGTTAGCTTCTTTTAGTTTATGAGCAATAGCAATAGCAAAAAATGCCCGTCATACTATTTGTAGTTGTAGCTATAGCACAAGCATCGAAACCGAGAATGAAAGCAAAGCGAACGAAAATAAAAGCAACTCTGCTTTTGCTCTCGTAGCAACAGCGTAGTTGCTCTCATAGCATTTTTGTAGTTGCTCGGTGCATGTACGGTTTTAAACGCGTAGTAATATTAATTCACCTCAAGCGTAAACATGGCTTCGCGAAAAAACAATATTTTAAAATATTTTGGAGACGATGGGTCAACATATGTGCAGTGCAAATCTTGTAATCGGTCTTTAAAGAAAGATCGTACATTTAATTTAAAGAAACATATTGTTGGAGTGCACAAAATAAAAATAGATAATCTAGACGAGGAGTCCACTTGTTCAGAAAATATAACAGAACCCAGAAAAGAAATAATGAAAGTTAAAATAAACAAAAAACAGTTAATTCGTTCATACATAGGACTGGTAACAGAAGAAAGCGTACCTTTCAATGTTTTAAATTCGGTAAACATGAAAAATATAATAGATATACTACACACTATATGGACCCAACCGAAACCAGGACCTGTCCGTTCTGCAATGATACCAACGATGCCTTATCAATTATTCATTTACTGACTAACTGCAAGTCACTAAACTGCCAAAGACAACTACTATTTAAAAACACCAATCCACTAGAATCCATCTCAAACCCCATATTACCAAACATATTACAAATAATACTATTTCTAAAGAACACAAACTTATATCACCTCATTTAAAATAATTATTATTTAGCCAAAATGTATATATAAAATATTACTCATGTAATCATTGTAAAAACCGAGCTGAAGGCCCCCGTTGCTATTGCTCAACATTACCGCTACCTATTAATTATACCCGTTACTCGTAGAGTAAAAGGGTATATTGTATTCGTGCAAAAGTATGTAACAGCTAGAAGGAAGCGTTTCCGACCCTATAAAGTATATATATTCTTGATCAGGGTCACTAGCCGAGTCGATCTAGCCATGTCCGTCTGTCCGTCTGTCCGTCTGTCTGTCCGTATAAACGCTGAGATCTCGGAAACTATAAAAGCTAGAAGATTGGCATTTTGCATGCAGATTCTAGGAGTTCCTACGCAGCGCAAGTTTGTTTCAAAATGGTGCCACGCCCCCTTTAACGCCCACAATCGCTTATATACGATTTTAAAAATTTAAATATTTCGGAAAAGTAAAAATGCAGTTTTATTGTGTTTATCAATACCTATCGAAATGTAGAAGAAATTTTTCAAATCGGACCATTCGTTAAAAAGTTATGCGTGATCAAAGTTTCTATCTCCATCTCCCTCGCACTCCCTTTACCTGAGTAACGGGTATCTGATAGTCGGGGCACCCGATTATAGCGTTCTCTCTTGTTTTAAATTACTTGGCAGCTCTTCATAAATAAATAAATAAATAAATAGATCCGATTTGTCTGGGTCTTACAGAAAAGAGTGGAAAAAGCTTTAAATTAAATGGCAGTAAATGCAAAAATATGCTAAAACATGTGGCGAAAAACATACGCAGCGAAATGCAACAAGAAATGCAGGGCCGCTTAATGACTTTGAAAATAGATAGCGCAACTCAGCTTAACCGTAATATTTTTGGAATAAGCGCGCAATTTATTAATGAAAATAAAATTGTATCCCGGATTTTAGGCATGTCTGAAATTAAAGGCACTAGTGGAAGTACGTCTAAAAATCTTGCCAAAGAAATTATAGCTACTTTAGAGAAGTACAACATCCGATTGAATCAAATTATTTCAATTACATCAGACAATGGAGCTAACATGATAAAAACAACAAAAATATTATCACATAGTTATGCAGCTGATGATGATTTTGAAGGCACAGAGGAAGTGGAAAAAAACATAGACTATACTAAAAAAATTGATAATTTTGAGACCCCAGAAGAATTGCACGTGGGTAATATACAAATATGCCGGTGTGCAGCACATACTGCACAACTTTGCGCACTTGATGTTTCAAAAAAGGCAGACATTAAAAGCTATGTAATTCAATGTCGCAACGTGACGAAATACATTCGTAAGCCATCAAATGGTTATCGTGAGGCATTTGACTTTCGAAAACTTAAATTGCCTCAATTGGATTGTCCCACAAGGTGGGGATCAACATATGAAATGATCGATCGACTTAACAAAGCTAAGGACGTATTGAGTGAAATTGAAGCAATCGAAAATAAAACGGATGATGAAAATTTCGACGCTACCTCTATGTTGTGGGAGTTTATAGATAGCTACACTTGCATTATGAATCCACAAACTTTATTCATCAACAACTTCATTGAATTCTATGAGTCTTGAAGAAGGGCTGGAAAATAATGAGTTCGACTTGTTAGACAGCTATTTGGGAGCTACGGTATCGCCATCAGACGAATGCACGGATGTTTTTACAAAAATCGAAACACTAAAACTCCCTTACATGAAAGCAAGTGTTAATGTATTGAACTTCTGGAGAGAAAGAAAGTCGACTGATCCTGAACTGTATGCACTAAGCAAAGTATGCTTTGCCACTCCGCCCACACAAGTAAGAAGTATTGTTTTTGCTGCAAGTAATATGTTAATAACTTTTAATTTTATTTAGGTCACAATCGAAAGGGCATTTTCATCATTAAAACTTCTATTGGTCGACAATCGGAATAGGTTAAGCCACGACACATTAGAAAATATTATACTTGTCAAACTAAACTCATTCCATTTGGATAGTGTCATCGAAAATTTCCCTTCATTTGAAGACGAAGAAAATCATAATTGAAATTATTGTTATTGTTGAAATTTAATTTTTTATTTTTGTTATATTGAAAAGGAATATATTATTATAATTTGAAATTAACGTCTTTAAATGCAATATCTGGTAAATTAATATTACTGCTTGTTTAAAACCGTGCATGTGTACCAAAACAAAATATAACGGTAAGATTTGGTATGCGGCAAAATACGGAGCTGCTATGAGAGCAACTACAAAAATGCTATGAGAGCAACTACGCTGTTGCTACGAGAGCAAAAGCAGAGTTGCTTTTATTTTCGTTCGCTTTGCTTTCATTCTCGCTGTCGATGCTTGTGCTATAGCTACAACTACAAATAGTATGACGGGCATTTTTGCTATTGCTATTGCTCTGTACTCCGACGTTCTGTGCTACAGAGCAGAGCAGAAAAGCAACCGTTTTGCTTTTGTGCTCTTTGCTATGCTACAGAGCCGAACGAAATCAGAGCAATAGCGAGAGTAAAAAAAATACTTTGATGTAGCATAGCATTTTCAATCACTGGAAGAAACGGAACTACCCGGCGTGATGAGACAACTTAATGCCACCTTCGCTAGCATGGGCATTGTTTGTGTTTGCGAGATCCAAAATTCGAAAGGATTGGTCTCCCAATTACAGAATGGCATACTAAAGACCAGTTGCATTTCTTTTCTTTCCGAACTTTGGACTACAGAGTCTCGGAGTTCTATGGTCCTGTTGTGGAGATCCAAAAAACTTTCCTGTACGTCCATGTCCTGTACGACCATGTCTTCGAAATCCATTTCTCCTTCAGACGGCTGTATTTTTGTTTCTTTATTTTCAATCATCTGCCTTACGATTTCATCTGTTACATTTTTGACGTGGAGAGGCATATTGAAGTATATTTTTTTAAAACGAGGATCAAGCATAGTAGCTTTCATCAGAATATTATTCTGCAGCAAACCACTCAATCGCTTTTCCGATATATTTAGAATTGTGTCTTTTGTTAGGATGCCCTCAGCGGTAACCACGTTAGCTTCTTTTAGTTTAGTATTTATCATAGAAATCATTGGGATAACTAAACTGACCGTCACGTATGAATCTCCGCTCACATTATCAGTGGCTTCTTTAAACGGTTGGAGAACATGGCCAAAATCTCAACAAATATTCAGCTCCTCCACTAAGAGCATTTCTGGTGAGTTGCCACTTCGTCAGCCAGCGCAACGAACGCGTTTAGCATATCCAAGCAGGAGTTCCATCGAGTGTCCACGCTTTGAATTAGTGTTCCATTTGACATTTTCGTAGTGCGTCCATAGCAACTGTGCTGTGTTTGAAGTGCATGACGATACGCTTAACTTTGTCTAAAACAAAAGAAAAGGAGTGAATGGTCTTCACAGAATCGTCCACAACCAAATGAATTGTGTGTGCAAAGCACGGAACGTGGCTACGCGGTCCAAGAAACAATCTCGACGCTGCTACCATATTGTTGGCATTGTCTGTAGTTAACGTCCTCCTTTTATTTTTTCCAATACCAAACTCATTGCAAGCATCTTCCAACAGTTTAGAAATATATTCGCTTGTATGAGATTAAATGGGAAATTATTTGAAGAAAAACAAGAAAGGAAAGCTAACTTCGGACGGAGCCGAAGTTGATATACCCCTGCAGAATATTCATATGATGCATTCCTAAAACTCATAAAAAGTCCCAACTCCCTAACTTTAAAAACACCAAAGTTATGACATTTTTAAACGTTCCGTTATAAGGCAGCTATAAGATATAGTCAGCCGATCCTTATGAAATTTGGTAGGTCGGATTGATTGGCCAAAAATAAAACCCATAGAAAATCCCAACTTCCTAACTTTACAAACACCAAAGTTATGGCATTTCCGATCAATCAGTTTTATGGCGGCTATAGGATATAGTCGTCCGATCCTTATGAAATTCGGTAGGTCGGATTGATTAGCCAAAAAATAAAACTCATAGAAAATCCCAACTTCCTAACTTTAAAAACACCAAAGTTATGGCTTTTCCGATCGTTCAGTTATATGGCAGCTATATGATATAGTCGCCCGATCCTGCTCGTTCCGACTTATATACTACCTGCAATAGAAAGACAACTTTTGGGAAAGTTTCAAGCAGAAAGCTTTAAAACTGAGGGACTAGTTTGCGTAGAAACGGACGGACGGACAGACGGACGGACAGACGGACTTGGCTAGATCGACTCTCCTGGTGATGCTGATCAAGAATATATATACTTCATAGGGTCGGAAATGTCTCCTTCACTGCGTTGCAAACTTTTGACTGAAATTATAATACCCTCTGCAAGGGTATAAATATAAAGTATTATTATTATTATGGAAGTATATAACCAGTCGGACTGGCTGAAACACAAAGGGGACTGTCCATATATTACGTAATCACCTAGGGGGAGGGAGGGGGTCAACAAAATGATTATGTTGGATTATGTGGCCAAAGGGGGTCTTAGACAATGATTACGTAATCATTTTATAAGGACTTGCAAGTATTTGTGCAAAAAATAATTTCGCTCCGATTAGTCCATCTGTATATACAAATTCAAAGACTATAGCATATGTGGACAGCCACAAGTCACAAATCACACACATAAATACAATTACAAGTCAAAATACAAATACAATGCTAAATTAAGGGTTATTTAAGCATTAGTCATTTAAAAGTAGTACAATATTTAGTTTAAAACGGACGAAAAACAAACGTTAAATGTTAATTGTCATTATCAAATACACAATTGATCGAATCTGGCTTATCCTAGCAGCCTGCAGACAAACAGACTGAAGCTGATTTTCATGTAAAAAATGCACAGTTATTGTTAAAAAGATCTAGTTAAATTCGTGATAGTTACAGCATCACATGTAAAGGCAAAGTTTTCGACTTCTTCTGATGTAGCGTGCAACTTGGCACACGCTCTGTGAATTGAGATATTCTCCAAAGTTTGGGGAGTCGATTTTTCAAATGCATTTTTGAAATACTTCCAGACCTTCAATATGCTTAAATCTTACATATATAGTTAGGATTTTCTTTTCTTAATATTTTTGCATCTAAAAGTTTTCAATTAAGTGCTTAAATAGCAAGAAAATCAAAAAATAAAAACAGCCTCAATGTTCCACATTCCACCGTTCCGCCATCGACGCTAAGTCACCGACGCTAATTTGACGCACATTCGATCTGGATACTAGGCTTAAGTGACCTTCTATGGCCCGCCGCCTGCGTGGGATTTGCCGGTCTAAGTGTGGCCATCTCTCTCGGTCTAGTGTGCCCCTACGCGCACGATCGTTTTGGCGCGCGCTCGTTCTTGGTTTGAATTTAAATTAAATGCTTTTTCGTTTAATTTTTAGTCTTTTTTATTTATGTCTTGTTTTTGTGCGCGCAGCGTCACAAATGACTTGCAGGAAACCAATAAGTTTAGATTAGAACACATTAATGACGAGGAAAAAGATAATCTTAAGAAAATTTTATATGAATTTAGCGACATACAGTACAAAGAAAGTGACAATTTGACTTTCACTAGTACCATCGAGCATGTCATTCATACAAAAAATGAGCAACCGGTTTACAAAAAACCATACAAATATCCTTAAGCTTACGACCAAGAAGTCGATTCGCAAATGAGGGATATGATAAAACAGCGAATAATCCGAAAGTCAAATTCCCCTTATTGCTCACCTATTTGGATAGTACCTAAGAAAGGTGATGCATCAGGGACAAAAAAGTTCCGTATCGTAATTGACTATCGTAATTTAAATTTGTCAACTTGACAAATGCGAATTTATGAAAAAGGAATCAGAATTCCGTGGACATATTATAACAACAACTGGTATAAAACCAAATCCTCTCAAAATAGAGGCAATACAAAATGTCCCTATACCCAAATCCCCAAAACAAATAAAATCCTTTTTAGGTCTTTGTGGATTCTATAGGAAATTTATACCAAACTTTGCTAAAATAGCAACCCAAATTTCGAAAAACCATTTTCATTAAGGGGGGTATAGTATTTAAATCTTTTTTTCTGCATTTTGTTTCTGAATGCACAACATCTTGAGAATATTGTGTTAAAATTTTTGATCGATCCGAGTAAAACTTCCGAACTTATGGGCAGATGAACGTAGGTAAGTTAGCTTGTTTTGTATGGGTGTCCAACACTTTAAAACGCTCTTCTGAAAAGTGGCCATTTCAAAGTCGGTGTACACGATCCTGCAAAATCTATGGGACGGATCGTTTTGAGATTTTGCACAGTATTTCTCTACTAAATTCCTCAGGTAACGCTGTCGAGTTTTTTTTTTGAAAATTTATTATTTTTAGAGCAACAAATATTATATGTCGACGTTTTGGGCGAAAATCTGTGTTTTTGACTTTCAAGTGCCTTAAAAAATCGAAAAAAAAAAAAAAAAAAAACTCGACAGCGTTACCTGAGGAATCTTGTCCTTTAACTAATGCAATTTGATTTTTTCAAATCAGATGATTCTGTGACCAGTTATCATGTACACCGCAAAACGTGTTTTGTTCGGGGCGCCGCCGAAAATTGCTTGTATCTCACTCAATTTTTAATTTTTTTTTTGATGAAAAGATTCACACATATTGTTTAAATGTTGCCCTATCACATGCAAAAACCAAAATTGAGCTGAGACTATCTGTATCGCCAATAAAAATTATTAAAAAATGACCGAAAATTAATGATTTTGCACCGAATTAACTATACCACCCCACCCCCTTAACAACAGTATTATCACAAAATCATAAACCAATCTGCTATACCAGCAGAACTCTGGATACTAGGCTTAAACAAAGAAACTAAAGCCTAGTATCCAGATCGACAAACGATTACGCTAGCGTAAAAACTTTAATCTTTCCAGTGTGACCAAAAGTTTGAGAGTTCATCAGATTTAAGCGTGCTACGGTCGTACTGTCAATCAGCTGGGTTTGTTGACAAGCAGTTAAAATTCAAATATCCTATTTGCGGCAAAGAGCCTTTAAAAGATATTATCAAATACCTTGGCAAGACAAGTCTGCCGCTGTACAAAGAAATTAAAAAAATAATTAAAATACAATTTAAATTTAACAGTTGTTTTTTT